GATAATTTCACTAAATTAAACATACGTTTAATTAAATCTAACTAATTCATTTAGCTACCTAATTTAACTTAATTAACACATCAATAGCTACGTTCAAACCTACGTTTAGCAAACGAATTTTAATTAAATTATTTTTGTAAACCTACGTTTAAACCTACACTAAATTATTACGTTAATGACATTTAATCTTATTAGTAATACACAATTAACAATTCACTAAATTAAATAATATGACCAAATTCAACCCAATAATTTGAACATGTATATAAAGTCATTTGAATTAATAAGCAATACACAATTCACAATAACAATTCACAATTCTAAACTACATTTAGCTAACTAATTTTAATTAAATTATTTTATAAACCTAAAAGTTTAACTAATTCTAATTTATGACATTACTACGCTTATAGTTAAAACATGTTGTTAATTAATTAACAACCTCACTAATTTAATAGTTTTAATAATTTAAATTGAACCAACTAATTCTAAATAAAAATTATAATTCAAATAACATACCTTATCTGCATAAACAGGGAAAATGATAGAAGATAGACTACATCCTTCGATCTTTCAAGCGGGTACTGTATATACTGGGAATGAATTGGTGTGGTTCTGTTCAATGAGCTGCTCCTGCATATATAAAAAATTTAGTCACGGACTTAGTCACGGATTTGTCCGTCACTAAGCAAAACCGTGTCCAATACGCGTCCAAAACGTGTTAATGACGTGTAAATGACGTGTTAATCAAAGTAGTCACGGAACTAGTCACGGACATGGCCGTGACTAAAGTTATCCGTACATAATCCCGTTGCGAATTAAGTTAAGGGAGGTGAAAAAATTAAATTTTAATCATAGTCACGGGTATAGTCACGGATGTGGCCGTGACTAAGTCGTCGGAATCAAATATACTTCGCCGGAAACGGAAACGGGCCTATCGGAGGACTTAAGTCACGGGCCAAGACCGTGACTAATTTTAGTCACGGCCATAGTCACGGTCCAGACCGTGACTATTTTTTTTTTTTTGAATTTCCGTGACTAGTCCGTGACTAAACTAGTCACGGACCAAATCCGTGACTAAAATCCGTGACTATAACGCTGTTTTTTTGTAGGGACTAACGATTTGCCGAACACTCTCCATAAGTATAAAGAAAAAGTAAATGTGTTGAGTAGCAACTCATTACGTTGGTAGAGAGGTAGTAGGCGCTGCATTTGTATAGTCATGGCATTTTATGTACGCTCGATTCTCGGTAATAGGAGCATTTTTGTTTGATTTATTTTCCCTCTTAAAACACTTGCTTAATTAATGATACTCTTTTACATTTATAAATTGACTGATTTTGCTGAAATTTATGAAATTCTGGTTGAAGTGGCTATATTAGCTGATTCTGCTGATTCGAAAAAAATCATATTTAAAATACTCCCTCCCGTTAGGAGGTTCCGGTCAATTACGGTTTACGATGCTTGACTGACGATAAAGCAACTTAATCCTTGTTCACACTCTGATTATTTTTAGTAAATAAAATTTACGTATTCAGAAACTACATTAAAACCGCTACAAAGCCTGATAAAAAAATGTAAGTTTGATAAAAATTTGATATACAAAGTAAAAGATTAAGAATTATTTAAGTTGACCATGTGAATAGTGTACGGGAACCTTTAAATGGGACGGAGGGAGTATTTATTATTAATAAATAAATAAAAAAATATGAAAAAATAGTTAAAATGATGTACTACATTAACTTCAGCCAATACAACCAGAAAAGTAACTCCAACCTTACATTTTCTGCTAATTACACAATCAACGCGTGAAATCAAAAGTTACGTGTTTGGTGAAAAATTGACTAATAAGCCGAAAAATGGGGTCATCAAACGGGCTTTTACTCTTAATCTTTTATACGGAGTATCATTTAATATGCAATGTAATTTAGTGACTACTAACAAAAGTTTAACTTTTGTTGAATGTACAAATTATATGATTAATATTTTTTTCTTTCATCCATCTTAAATTGAATTTAATTCACGATCTTATGGTCGAATAACTATAGAATAAAGGTTTAAATATGTTTTTAGTCCCTGCAAATATAATACGTTTTGTTTTACATCCCCGCAATTGTTTTTTTTTGTTTTTCGTCCCTGCAATTTATGTTTGTTTTCTTTTTAGTCCATCATTTATGATAACAACCTTCTTTTGACCTCAAAATAAACCCGATTAATAGATTTCCTCTAATTCTTTGTCATGTTATTCAAAAAGTATTTAATTTTATTTTTAGAATGTTTTAAATATATATTTTAAAATGTGAATACTTAGTTTTATATTGTTTTAACTCTCATACTAGCATAAAAAAAATTATAAAAGGACAAATTTAAATATTTCTAGTAGGTTTATGTAACTGATGTTAACTTTTTTTGTAAGTGGAGTGGTTTCAGAATTAGAGATGGACTAAAAACAAAATAATGCATATTGCAGGGATGAAAACAAGAAAAATATTTTGCAGGGATCTAAAACAAAGTGTATCATATTTGCAAGGACTAAAACGTATTTAAGCCTAAAATAAATCATCCCTGTAAGTAGTCAAATTAGTTTTATTAGTTAAAAGTTACATTTTTGAAAACTACATTGCAATACGAAATATGTAATTATGTAAATAAAATGAAACTGTGTTAATCAAGAAAAGTTGACATCACAAATCATTTTGGAAGATGGAGTAGTGTAAATGTGAAGTTACATAAACAAATAAACGTAATTTTAAAAGGAATATAAAGATACTTTTAGAAGAAATGAAAAGTAAAATATGTTATAATATTGTTTAATAAATGTTACTTATAGTTATTTTTGTAATATCGCTATCAGTAATCGATTATTTCTGAAATGTGTATTGTACTACAGCGCACAATTGTCATAGTGCAAATTCCCCCTCAACAAAAATTCCTACGTATGCCACTAGTACGAGTGACACCACCACAAATAAACTAATCTTTTATAATCCCTAAACTCTAAATGCTAAAGTTTTTAAAAATGAATCAAATAGGTTGTAAGTGGTAACACATCCAAAAATTATCTACAAAGAGCATGCAACATGTAAATAAGAAAAATTCTATTCATAACTCTCAAATTGTTATTAACAACCACTTAATTAAAAAAAGAAAAAATAATTCAAATATTTAAATTACCCTTATTCAAAGGGTTCTATAACGCATGGATTGATGCTCAAACATACCATCGTGCTCTAAACTATTTGCCAGAGATCAACTCCGGTCTCTGCCCATATACGAAGTATATAGCTTCAACATCCTATACGGACAAGTAAACCTAAATTATGAGCAAGATTAGTACCGAGTAATATAAACTTAGAAAACAGAGTGAAACCTGGTTCCACACTCTAGGAAAAACCTAATAAGCAACTCAATATAGGATGGGTCACAACTCAATTTTTTATTATATTTTTTACTACTTATATATATATATATATATATATATATATATATATATATATATATATATATATATATATATATATATATATATATATATATATATATATATATATATATATATATATATATATATATATATATATATCACAGTTTTTTTCTAGTAAGGGCCAAGGCCGCCGTTAGTCTCCCCTGTCTCCACCCTGCTAACAAGGTCTTTTTACATTCAACTTCCATTTTGTTGCCAAATCATTTATTCTAGGAAAATCATTTTGTTGTCAGAGGATATGTTGCAAAGTGAATTTGGATTAGACCTTTTTAATTTTCTTACATCATTGAGTTTTTTTGTTTGATTGACAGATTACTCAGATACTTTTGACATATCAATTGAAATTAATATGGACTAATATGTCGGGGATCCGATAAAATTGGAACGATATTATTACACTCCGTTTATAATGGGCATCGACAAATGGAGAAGAAAAAGTATTGTTTTTATTGTTTTGTACTCCCTCCGTCCCGAAAACAACCTCCCGGTTTGACTTTCACACACTTTTAGAAAATAAATTTGACTTTACTGTAGAGTGCATTGTTTTGCACTGTTTGGCACTGTTTAAACACTTTTTGACACTGTTTATCACTTTTTTGATGTAGATAATTTGCTAAATAAGGAAAGTATTGAAGTGTGAAGTTAATTTTGGGACATCCATTTAAGGAAAGTGGAAAGTTGTTTTTGGGACGGAGGGAGTATAAAATAAGTATTTTGTTTTTTATTACTTGCTCAAGAAAGAGGGATGGAGGAGAATTGGTTATAAAAGTTGCCACTTTCGTTGGTTTTATGTATACTCGGGATGGTGGAGTGGGATGGACATGACCTTTTGTCCGCCCACCCCACTCGGGATGGTGAAATTTTATGATAATATTTTGGTTAAAGTGTCAAATAAGTCATCGAACTAACTTAAAAATTGCAATTCACCTATTATATAGGAGGCTCTGTCCGGCCGTCGCTAATTGGGGCGGTTTCTGATGGAAATTTTTTATAAAATTTTTTGTTCATCTTCTTCATTATGTGTAGTTTACGCATACCAAATGTTAGCTAAAAATTCAATCTGGAAGGCAGTCAAATGAATTTTTGAAAACAATTACGCAGTAAAACAGCGTAGTACATTTCAGAAAATCATTTGACTGTCTTCCCGATTGAATTTTTATCTGAAATTTGATATGGGTAAACTAGACTTAATGAAGAAGATGCTAAAAAAACTTCTTTAAAAAATTCCATCGGGAACCGCCTTTTTAAGTTAGTTCGATGACCTATTTGACCCGTTAGCCAAAATATTTTGAACATGTTCATCATGAAATCTAGATTAGGTTTACAAAATTTCAATTTAAATTTTAATTTAAAATAAATTATTGAAACAAATTTTGTCAAACTATATATGTAAAAGCATAGTTTTTCTCAAAAATTTATTTAACCAATTTTCCGATTGAATTTCAAGTCGGAAATATGTGGATATAATCTACATTTCATCAAAAATTCTTATAGGATATTGTTATTTACGATGTAGGTTGCTTTCCTTAATTCAAGAAAAGGATTTGTAAGGATTGCTATAGAGACGGGCAAGCCTTTAGTTCCTGTATTTTGCTTTGGCCAGGTAAATTTGTTTCATTCTTACAATTTAATAGTTCTTGTCTCACAAAATTCAACTTTATTTATTTTTCTTGGTCAACGATAGTTAAAATTGACCAATAATATATCTTAGTATGTGGTTATTTAAAATACGAACATTATAGACATATTCTTTGTTAAATATTCATAAAAAAACACAAAGTTTACATATTTTGAACAAATATAAAATTTATGTAATTATCCAAAATATCATGACTGACCAAAAAAAGTTGGCATGTTTTATGCGAGGACTTAATAACACTGTAAAACAAATTTTAAATATTTACATAAAATTGATCTCAAATAATAATATACTTTATATGAGAATATCGAGTTCAATCTCTAAAATGAATCCTCTAATTCTTTACCTACAATTCGAAATAAAAATTTTCTTCCATTTCTCTAGGGCTTCGGCCGAAATGGGCTTTGGGCCCTATTTACTTATATTTTTATAGCCAGAAAGTCAACACTTGTGTGATGTATCTGGACAACTTTTTAAGAACGTTCATAGCTATTTTGATATATATAGACGATTTTTTGACTAGATTCTTCTCCTTGTTCATAAGTTGAACCAGGCCTCTTATCTTTTAGGTCACTATTTGATATTGGGCTCTAAAACAGTGAGTTTAATAGAGCTGGTCCATTATATTAAAAATTAAATTAATTGGAGATTCCTAAGATAAAATTACCCCATATGGCTAGAACTCTTTCACTTTTCTAATCTATGACCATACTAGTTTTTTCCATAAAATATTATTTAAATACTTCCTATTTAATTAGTTTATTAATAAATAAATAAATAAATAAATAATTAAATAATTATATAAAAAAAAATAAACAAAGTATTTTTATGGACTAATATGCAATTAAGTCATTGTTATAAAACTCTTACATCCTACTCCTTTTCTCAAACCCTAGTTGTAGCCATCACCTCTAGTCTCCCACCGCACACCTACCTCCTACCGTACCGCCAGTCTGCTGCCCAAATCCCCGTAACACCACCACCCGCCGCCGTTTCACACACGTCTGTCCATAGCTGCCGTCTACCCGCTTCATCCACCATCTTCCTGCAGCCACACGACGTTTGGACACCTCGTCATGCAACTGCCAACCATTCGACATCCACGAACCTCAGACCTCGCGTCGTGCAGCCGCCAGAAACTGCCTTATCTAATCTCCTTTTTTTTCTTCTTCTCCTTCTTTTCCGGTCTCCTTTTTTTGTATTTCTTGAAATTAGGTTTGGTAATTAATGTTACCAAAGAATGGCGTTGGACCGTCGCTCCAGCAACTCAGATTCTTCAACCAAGGCAGTCGAGGTTGAAAGCGAACCCTGGGTTGAAGATGAACCCTATCCCTATGTTGAAGACGATTGAAGACAATGTGCAGTAAATAATTTGTATGTATTTTCGTGAATATCCCAAGAAGTGAAGTGGTTATCACAAGAAGTGCAATGATGTTATCATACATAAAGTGATTATGACACAAAGTGCAATAATGTAGAGCATTAACATTGAGATAAAGTACAATTATCAAATCTAAAAAGAAAAAAAAAAAGAATTACAAGATTCTAACATTTATGTAATGTCGTGCCATAACTCTTGTATGAAGTGCATTATGTTAAATTAAACGTAAATGCTAAAGTTATCAAAACTAAAAAAACAATAAACTAAAATTCCATAACTTAAGTGCATTATATGTCATGCAGTGAACATCGACATAAAGTGCGGTAAATGTCATGCAATGACGTTTGCATAAAGTGCAATACTTTTACTCGTATGAAAGTAGTGCAAAATGCATCTTTTTTAATAAGGGTATCGTCCTTCCACATTTTAATATAACGAGATTTTTTTCCATTTTTAGTCATATTTCGGGATAAAAACAAAACTAGTTATATTTAAGGAAACTCTACAAGTTTTATTCATATCCCAGAAAATTTCTCTATTTTTAATGGTCTAAATTAGGGGTTTTTTTACAAAGAAAATTACTAAAATAAAACTTATTTACACAAATATGACTACTAGTTACTATAATATAGTGTCATAGTAACTTAAGTTTAAAAAGTGAACATAAGTTACTATGATTTCAATACTACTCTAGTCACTAATCAAATTTTTGTAAACAGTCTTCATTTTAGTGATAAATATGTAATTATTTCCCAAATTAATTAATCATTAATTTCATCTCAAGAGACTCATATCACTATCTTTCTTTTAATAAAGTCCAACAATCATCATGAGTGGTCTAGTGAAATTTAACATTGATCCAATGACATTCAAAATAGATCCAATAAGATGTAAAATAGCCTAGTTGCATCTAAAAGAGCTCAATAATATTATGGACTATCATTTGTAAAGTCCAAAGCATTCATTAAAGTCCAATAATTTTCCATACTCACAAGCACATTGTGTGTAATTGCAGTCCGAGGTATACCGGTGGTGGAAACCCAGCAGCAAATTGTTTTTGAAAATTTCTAGAGCTATAAAGTTCACACCACTTATTTTCTGGGGAATCCTCGGGTAATCTATCTACAACTTGGATTTGTTTTAATTACCTATTAAGGGAGTGTTTGCACTTGCTTCTACTGAAAAAAAATGATTTTTTAAAAGGGGTTTGTCCTCAAATAATACTAATTAAAAGCATTTGGACAAAAAAAGAGACTTTTATTTTAAGTTCCAGATATAAGACTAAATAACACTTAAGGGACTATTACACCCTTACTAAGCCCCAAACCCACTGGCCTGCTACAGTAACCCGTCACAGTGACCAAATGTGCAGTGACCAATGTTAAAGTTACCAATGACATAGTTACAAAATTCATCCAGTGACCAAAAATAATTAGTGACCAAACATCCAAAATTCCTCAGTGACCAAAAAACATTAGTGACCAAACATCTGAAATTCACCAGTGACCAAAAATTATTAGTGACCAAACATCCAAAATTCACCAGTGACCAAAAATCATTAGTTACCAAAGTTTATGTCCAATAACATAGTGACTTTCACCCGTTTAACGACCTACGTCCGTCTGTCCAGTGACCAATGCCCACACATCTAGTTACAATTACGTGAACTAACCAGTTACAGTTATTAACTCAACTACTTTTATTTATTACAATTACTTAATTCGATTGATTACAATTACAGACCCGATCAATTATACTTGCAGTTACTAACAGCTCAATGACATATTTATTCAAACAAACTTATGATTACACCGTCATGGCCAGCCACCACCGCAGGCCAAACTATCGGCCACAACCGTTGGCCACCAACGCCGGTGACTCGCTGCCGCACTCACTCCGGCAGCCAACATCCCCAACCCGTCTTTAACCAAGCCCCAATCACCCTGCCACCGCAAACCACCATAGCCATCCACCACCGCTGGCAGCACTGCCGGCCACCACTGTTGGCCACCAACACCGCTACCGCACTCACTCCGGTAGCCAACACCCCCAACCCGTCTTTAACCCAGCCCCAATCACACTGCCACTGCAGCCACCGCCTCCGGCCAACGGCACCTCCGTCCACTGCCGCCTCTGCCCATAGCCGCCCCAGGCCACCGCCGCCCCTGCCCAATCCTCTCGCCATCCCCATGCCCAGCCCCCAGCCCAATTCCCAGCTACCCTGCCCCAGCAACCTGTGAATCCAACCACCACTCACAGCCCTCAGATCCGAGCTTCTGACCAACACAACCAGAGCCCGACACCACCATAGCCCAACCTAATCAACCCCAACCGGAAAATCTAGCTGCCGTAACCTAAACGTAACCCTAGAGTATCAGGATTTGTCCTTTTTGCCTTTCATCTGTTCGAATTAGCCCCTTCACATTCAGATACGCCCTCTCCACGATCCGGTTCGCCTCTTCTCGATTTGTTGTTGTGTATCGCCGCCATCAACGCAACCATACAGAAAGGGAAGAAATAGAAGGGCGGCTGGGATGGCGGTGCGGTTGCGAGGCTCTCCGGTGGTGGTGCGATAGCGGTGGGTTGCAAGGCTCTCTGACAGTGGCACAACGGCGGTGGAGCGACGGCGGCAACAACTTACTTGCTTGCAAGTGAAGAGGAGATGGGCGAAGGGCGTGGTGAGGATGGGCGAAGTCGTGAAGAAAGAGACGATCAGATCTGGGAGGGGTATATGTGAAAGGGGTACTTTGGTCTGTTCAGTTATTTTTAGTCTCTTTTCTGTCCAAAATTAGAACCACTCCTGTTTTTTGTCTATTCAAGTCCTCCAAGTAATATTAACGTCATTATTCCTTTTTAAAATGATTTTGGAGAAAGTGATTATTACTAAAAGTTGATATTGATTAAAAAATGTTTCTATTAGAAAGAGTTTTACTATGTAGAATAGAAGTGATTTTGATTAAAAAAAAATAAAAAATGTAGTGTTTGATAAAAAAAAATGATTTTTGGTGTAATATTTTATCAAAGTACACAAACACTCCTCTAAAACACCATGTTGTCCTCCATAATATAGTTCAGGAGTATCCATCGGAAATCCGAATATGCCAGCTACCATCAACTTCAACGGACCAACAAATATGCCAAAATCACCAACCATCCCTAAGACCCTAAACAAAAGAGAGGATGGACCAACAATTCCCCAATTCCCCAAAATTCATTCCATACACAATTCTTGCTACTCATATTCCCCAAAATTCAGCAGCAGAAGAGACGCGGAGCTCTGTGTGGAAGATGCGACAGAGGGAAGAGTAATTTGGGTTTAAAATAAATAAGTTTTCATTATAATCATCCCCAGAGTTCAATTTTTAGCTTTAAAGTGCTTTTTTTATAACTAAAAGCGGGTATTTGAAAACACTAATATTTTAAGCCAAGAGCGGTAAAGCACATAATTTAAAGAATTGTTCTAAAAATCTGATTAGATTTGATTCATTCTCATCTCAATCTTGCACGTTCAATTGTCTAGTTTTATCAAAATCAATTATGTTTTACGTGATTAATGTTAATGTTAATATCAATGTTATGATGGTAATTGTTGTTATTGTTATTCTTATCATTATCATTATATAAAATAGAAAATTATGTAGACTAAAATTCTTTCACTTTCTCAATCTATGACCTAACTAGTTTTTCCCAACAAAACATTTAAATTTGTAATACCTAATTAATTTATAAAAAAAGAAATAAATAGTCTTTATGGACTAATATGCTCTTTTACCTACAAAACTCTAATCTCCTACTCCTTTTCTCCAACCCTAGACTCTAGTCTCCCGCCGCCCAAGATGCACCAGCCTCTAACGGCCCGATGTCGTCCCGCCGCACGGCCGCCTGCTCGCCACCGTCCACACGTGCGCCTGCTCGTCGCTTTCGTCCAGTCGAACGACCGCATGCTCGCTGCCTATGTCCCGCCGCACAGCCGCTCCTCGTTGCGTACGTCGAACCGCATGCTCGCTGCCTATGTCCCGCCGCACAGCCGCTCCTCGTTGCGTACGTCGAACCGCATGCCTGCTCGCTTTCCCTTGACGGTATGTGGGCTTCTTCTTCTATTTAATGAAATCAGAGTTTGCGAGCATATGGACTCCACCACCCCATCATCGCCACCATCCAGTTGCACGCCTGCTTGCCGCACGATCGCTCACTGCCACAGTCCAACCGTCCAAGGTTGGAGACAAATCCTAGATTGAAGACGTTTGAATATAGTGTGCAGTGATTTCTAGGACAATATGTACTAGATGCACCAAGTAATTTATATTTAATGTTGTGAATATGACAAGAAGTGCTCTTATTACGACAAGAAATGCAATGATTTGACAAAAATGCATTAATTATGACAAGAAGTACAATAATGTAGAGCGTTAACATTGACATAAAAGTACATGCACTTATCAAATCTAAAAAGAAAAATAGAAAACTATAAATTCTTAACATTTTCATAATGTTATGTCATAACTCCGGAATGAAATATAGCAATCCCAGCATAAAGTGCATTATATTTAATTAAATGTAAAAACTAAAGTTATCAAATCTAAAAAGGACCAAAAAAAGGATAAATTCATAATATTTTCATAATGCTTAGAAAAAACATTTGTAATGTCGTGCAGTAACGTCGACATAAAGTGTTATAAATGTCGTGCAATCAACGTTTGCATAAAGTGCAGTATTTTGAAACGAAAGTAGTGCAAAAAAGCACCTTTTGTGAGGGTATTTCCGTCCTTTGCCATTTGCATATGATGAGATTTTTTTTAGTCATACGAATGTCTAAAACAAAGACAGCCACATTTCAGGAAACTCAATATCTTTTTGTTATATTTCGGCATATATAATAGAGCATTGCTGAAGTGCTTACGACCACACGAGGCCGATATGATCGTCGTGGAGCTCCATGGTGGTGTGTGTTCGGCCCATCATGGAGCATGCACCTTGGCTAGGAAAGCTATCCTCCAAGGATACTTGTGGCCAACGATCATGAAGGATTGCGCCGATTACACAAAGAAGTGCAATACCTGCCAGAAATTTCGGAGGAGCCACAGATGGTTGGCAACGATGTATTTACACGGTGGGGATATAGATTTGGTTGGTCCCTTAAAATGGGTCGGGAAATAGAAAGTTTGTCATCATGGCCGTGGATTACTTCACAAAGTGGGTGGAGGCGAAGCCGCTCACCAGCATAACACATCTGCAGTGCAAGGAGTTTATCTCGAAGAATATCTTCTGCTGCTTCAGAGTTCCTCTGCAAATTATTTCCGACAATGGAAGACAGTTCGATTGCGAACCATTCAAGCAGTTCTGCGCCGAGTGGGGCGTGGAGTCGAGCCAGGCATATGTTTGCTATCCCCAGACAAACGGACAGGGGAAGAATACCAATTTCTCGATCATAGATGGCCTCCAGAAGAAGTTGGAAGCTCTTGGAACCATGTGGGTTGAAGAGCTAAATAACGTGCTATGGACGTTCCAGACCACTCTAGGAAGGCGACAAGGAAGACTCCTTTCGCTCTGTGTTATGGCTTCGAGGAGAGGGCTCCCTTCAAGATAGTGATTCCCAGCTGACGGCTGGAGTATTTTGAGCCACCTAGCAATGATGAGAGGCTCAGAGCTGAACTCCACCTCATAGAAGAAAGAAGAGACTGGGCATTTGTCTGGGCTGAGAATTACCATAGACAAGTGAAGGCGTACCAAGATAGCAAGGCAGTGCCACAGAGTTTTGACGTAGGAGATTACGTGCTGAGGCGGAGGAAGGCAAGCAAACCAACAGAAGGGGGAAGCTTTCCATCAAGTGGGAAGGCCCCTTACATTGTTGAAGCCGTGATTGGACCAGGAACTTATAAATTGAAGACTACGACAGGAAAATTTATTGATCGTGTATGGAACATAGAGCATTTACTTAAGTTTTATATATCAGTAGTGATGTGTAATAGTTAATCATTTCATTCCTTAAATAAAAATTCATTTTTCTTTCTTCAATATTGAATCGGATGAGGTCTGACCTCACTTAGGAACGAACGGGAAGGGGCTGAAAAAATTACTAATCACGCCCCGCTATCGGTGCTAAGTTGACCACGGCTTGATCTTCGGGCAAGGAAATGATCAAACTATTTTCTAAGTCCAGAATTAGCTGCTCGACCAGGGCGACCGTTAGAGCGGCCTCTGAGTTGAAAAGGTATGCAAGATGTCGTGCCCCGAGCCCCTCTCATACATCGGTTGTCCGACGTTGCTGTCTAAACATCTTGCACACTCGTTTGATATAATTGACGGTGTGGCGAATATATGACTGGCCTCCGAGCCGAGGGTATGTGAGAGGTCATGCTCTGAGCCCCCCCCCCCCCCCCCGTACATCCGTTGTCTGACATTGCTATGCTTAACAACCCACATGCTCAATTGATATGGTCAACGGTGTGGGTCCGTTTTGGTCTGACCATGCAGGGCCTTGCCCTTACGTTTGGCCAACTTCAGTTTGACTTTCAGAAATGGATAATTAGATTTTTCCTAAGTATGACATTATTTGTACAAGTCAAGGTGTAGGATCAGCCTCCGGGTCAAAGGTATGCGGGGAGTCGTACTTCGAGCCCTTCTCGTACATCTGTCGTCTGAACATTGGCCAAACGACTTGCTCTCTAGTCGGTAGTCCGCCCGACGCTGAATCTGGACCGACTGACGTTGAGCCTCGTCAACCTGGTGCTGGAGCCCCTCACGCTAGCGATCTATCGCTTGAAACACGGTAGTTAAATCCATTGGTCCCTACAGGAAACATGTGATTAGTGATAGAAAAGTAAGACAATACGCAAAAGGCAGGGGTAATATGACCTACCGCGGTGTGAGATTCGATAGCACTGCGGAAGATACCATGGTGCCACCAAGTTAAAGAGATTGGAAGATATCGGATAATCACAATTCCCGGAAATCAAAGATGGAACTATGCCTGCTGCCCACACCACATCCGAGATCAATGGAATGATGGGAGTGGGAGTCAGATTACCGACAGGAGGAGCTCTACATTTTCTCTCCATAATAAATGAACTTGCCTCGGACTTCGAGGGCCGAGACTTGGCATCTTCCTCCGCGGCCAAAACAGCGAGTGTGCCCCACCTACCTTCAACCTCTGCAAGAAAATAAATGGAGTGAATTGGACTTGTACTGGTTGGATTATTTCTCTGTTCCCAGCTTAAGCGGAGAATTTGCACATTTCTTCTGCTTGACAACTTGGTCTCCGTGAGGCGGGGAAGCTCTGCGCTTTCCCCCGATATCTACCTTCAACATGCTTGCATCGGACGGACCCTCATTTGCAAAAGGCATCGAGGGCTAGGATGTAGCTTCCTGCACCGCAACTAAGGGAGTGAATGTGTCGGTCCTACCTAACTTACCTGCAAGAAAACAGATGGGGATGAGATGGGGTCATATTGGCTGAGTTGTCTCCTCTTACTCGACCTGGAAAGGTGTTCGCACCTTTTCCATTTTCTGCAACCTGCTCTTCATGAGATGGGGAAGACCTGCGCTTCTCCCCAAGATCGAGTAGACCCGTACCTGCACCAAACGCTGAAGGTAGGAGCGTGGCCTCCAGCGACGCCGTCAGTGCGGCAGGTTCATCTCCATTTCCGCCCATACCTGCAGCAAATTTACAATGTAAGGAATGATAATATGTAATATTTGTGACCTACTAAGACGGAGAAGCTACCTATATACTCCGTACAAGTTAATTGGGAAAGGGGCCCCTTGAAACAAGGTGTCGATCTCCCCCTCTAGATCCCCCAAGTGAACGTGATGGGGGACGAGATGGGAGCTGACGCCCACACCCAGTTATTTTGCCACGTCCTGGGTACAGGTCAAATAGCTTACGACGTGATGATTGATAAAATGATACGAACCCACCATCATCTATTTTACAGTTAAGACAATTCCTCCTAAAACACTAACGTAACAGGGGTATGGACAGCCGAATAGCAACCCTCTTACATTGAGAATCAAAAGAGGCCGTGAACATATGCGCAGTTGGGGTCATCTGGCTCGGCGATATCCCGAGATGGGTGAGGAGTGCCACGAGAAAGGGACACATAGGCACCTGCATGGCTGTAACGCGGATGAATATCGGGGGCTTATGCGTGCGGCAATAAATTAGGGCTGGGATGCGGACAACATGCGCTCGAGTATTTCAAAATTAAAGAGAATGGTGATATTTAAGAAAAAATAGGAATAGCTCAGAGCTATTTTGGAATTAAGTTGAAGAGAAGCTAACCTGGGCCGTTTGAACTTGGAAGAACGCTAAGTATGGGATATGCAACTAAAGGCTTGAGTCTATTTGATGTGAGGTTATTATACGGCTATGAAAGGCCCGCATTTCAAAATTCCAGGCCCAAATTGTCGAAGTTGATACAAAACATTATGTACCGTCGGGCCAGAGGCGACTCCGCCCCCCGGACCCCAGGTCAGAGGGCACATCGCCTCCCTGGATCCCCCTGACTCGTTAACCGGGTAACGAGACCCCTGTCCTTTTGCAAGTAGTAGGGATCAAAGCAAAAAGGTATGTCAAGACCCGGGGAAAATAGCCTTCCTTGTTTTATTTTGAGGCACCCGTGTACTCTTTTCCCTTCACTAGGATTTTTTTTCCCGCTTGGTTTTTCGTAGTAAGGTTATGACGAGGCACCCCCTCATGATGAACAAAAGGAGATGTCGCCCCGACCAGAACGACAAAGACCACGGGCTGTTAATCAGACAACCAAGACCCCGACCTATTATCCAGACCCGATAAATCTCATTTTTACAAGTAGTGGGACCATAAAAGAGTTCCAACCAGCCAACCAGTCTGATAGCCTAGCCGGTTTCAAAGCAGCTCAACTACTCCCTTTTAGCTGAGTCTACTACTCGACTAAGGGAGTGGGGGACTCGTGTTAGGATAATGGGTCGATCCAATTCTATCAGCCCACTATACCTAAGCATGGTCCTAATAACTTGGCGCGGAACACAGTCCGACTAGAGAAGATAAATTTGAGATTATTTATATGTTGGGCCAATTGGCTCATGAGTGTGAATGCTAGTTGTTTAATTGGGCCAAGCCCATTAGCCTTAATGCTTAAGCCTCTTGTAAGCGCCTATAAATAGACCGTCCACTCTTTGAATTAGGGCACCAATTTTAATATACCAAATTGTTGTCGATTAAAGATTTATGAATATTCATAATTTAATTTTTAAAAAAATAACCTGCTATAGCAGGTCTAAGGGCTTTTTTTTTGTATTTTAATAGTAGACGTAAAGGGACTTTAGTACAAGGACTTTAGTGACAGATTGGAAATAGTAGAGGGACTTAGTTGACTTTTTTTCCAAAATTGTGTACTTTCAACAAAAAAATTGTGTACTTTCAACAAAGTTAAATTTTATCTGCCATGAAATTTTTAATTATGATATCATAATATACCTCTCCGAATATTTTGTTATTTATAATTGTGATTTTATTTAATATGATCTTGTGTAGATCAGAATTTTCAATCAAGCTAACTATTCAATATTCTCTTGCAGATCCCCTATACCTTTCCGACAACCCTTGCATGTTATTGTTGGCAGACCCATTCAAGTCAAGAGGAATCCACTCCCTCCATGTAAAGAGGTAATACGAAGTATATATCAAAAAATTACTTCAGATCAGAGTTGTATATTAACAAGTCTCAGCGGATAAATAAAAAAAAAAAAAAAAAGTAGTGCATGACAATGTTTAAGTTTATTAGTTAGAAATTTTGATCAGTCATTTCTTCAGTAAACTGAAACATAGTTGCTCTGTTTTAATTTTGTTTTTCAAATGTAAAGCTCACACGAGTAAAATATAAACTGTTGAACTACTATATACAAGATCATTAGAACAAAAGTATCAACGATCACATCCCATGAGAACAAGATCTCAATCTCAAATGAAGTTCTATTGACTTCTCGGAATTATTTTTTTCTAGGGAGGTTTCATCTATTGCAATTAGGGTTGGTATATTTTATGTAGTTAGGGCTGCTTTTGTTTTTTCTTTATTTTCCTTTGTTTTCTTAAAAAAAACTATATACAAGATCATGAATTACTCTAATGAGATTCACGTTTTAATATGAACACAGTCAGGGGCGGAGGTGGAGGGGTGGCCAACTGAGCCACGACCCAGCCCAAATTTTAAAATTGCTTATATTTTTAATGTAAAAAGTTCTTATTCATTTTCATTTTCATTTACCCCAGTGCCACAAAGGCTCCCACCCACGGTGGGGTAAGCGGGGTCGAATGTACACAGTCTTATCTCTGTACTAAAGTACAAAGTGAATGTTTCCAGATGACCCATTGTGAAAATCGGGTCCAAAACTGCTGCTTCATAACAAAGAAGCGCAAACAATTTAGTGAGTCATTTTGCTTTATTCCATCATATTCTCACAAGCCAAAAAATAATGAATCATTGGTTCCATTGCAAATGATGAAAAATTTAATGTAAAAAGTTGTGTGTAAAAATTTATTTGTAAAAAATCTTTTTATTGGCTCAACCCAACTTATACTCCTAGCAATGCCCCTCAACAAAGTAATGATTGATTCCCAAGAAATATGAAAACAAGTAATGATTGACTGTTCAACACCCGTAAAATATAAACTATTGAGAATTTGAGATACTGTATAAGATCATGGACTTCTTCAACGGGGGTGTTTTCTCATAAAGCGGGAATGCAATGCATTAGCTTCCTAAATACCGGAGTTTTATTAGGTTTTCTGAAAACACGGGAAACATGTTTCTCTAATCGGAAAATTTTAGGTATAGCTGGGAGACCTAGGAAAAGTTAAAAAACGGATTCTATGAATCCGAAATGTGGTTTTAATAATTTTTAAAACATGCTATCTCAGTTCTGAAAAGGTTTGCCAAATTTCCTTTTTTGGATGTCCCAAAAAGATTTGTCATTTCCATTTAAAGTAAGGAATATGTGGCTAAAAATAATTCTCTCTCTTCTGCACAAATTTCAACCACACAGTTTTTACTTTATTAATCCACGTAAAAGTCAAAATTGACGAACCTTTTCAGGACGGAGGGAGTATGTATGTTGAGTAGGTTGACTAAGTTAAGTGGGGAATCTCAAGTTGAATGGACTCTCAAGTTCAATAGGTTTTTTAATGATTTCTTACGTTTTTTAGATTATTTAGTTACCTTTTTTTTCAAATAGGAAATCACAAATATTTCAATAAAAATATGAACAAAAATAAATAAATAAATAAATAAATAAATAAATAAATAAATAAATAAATAAATAAATAAATAAATAAATAAATAAATAAATAAATAAATAAATAAATAAATAAATAAATAAATAAATAAATAAATAAATAAATAAATAAATAAATAAATAAATAAATAAATAAATAAATAAATAAATAAATTAGTGATATTTGTACTGATTACATTTTAAACATGGTTCAGGAATCCGAATAGTGTTTTTTTTAAACATGCCTAAGCTATGTACGTAGTGTCGGTCCTGTCTATTTTCGGACCTATGGACGGGATAATATTTTGGGCTTATATTCAACACAAATAATAAACTATATTTATTTAAAATAATAATTATAATAAAATAATCTAATAAAGGTCATTAAATAAAATTGAAACTCATTTGTATTATTATTATTATTATTTAAATTACATATTTGGTGAAAGACAAGTATCACATAAAAAGAAAAACATTACTTAAAAACGTTTCTCACGGAATTATCGAAATTCAATTTCTCAACAAAAACAAAATATTCCATTGATGCCTACTAACTTAACCCTGTCTTTTCTAATCTTCTTCTCTTTCTATCTTTATCACAACCTGATTCATCAATTTTATCAAGAATAATTTATTGATCATGGATGGATTGTTTGAAGCCTGTAAAGAAGAAGTTTTTTTTATCACCGACCGTCGTTTGGGCTCCTTGATTGATTAGCTTCAATTCTTAACAAATCGTTGAGGCACTCACCGCTTTGTAGCATTCTTTATTTTTGTTAACAAGAATATGTTCATCTCCGTCGGTCCATATGATTTCGCTGATAACAATTTCTTCATCTTTAAGTTTGTTTTAAAATGCCATTTTCACGGCAGTTTTCTCTTCAAAAATGCCATTTTTTCCTTTTTGAAATGGCATTCTCGATTCATATTGGCATTTTGATAAAAGTGTTGGCAGTAGCAGCGGAGGCGGTCAGATGTGGATCGCCGGAGGCTGATCTGCAGTGGCGGCGGCTTGTTTGTAAGAGTGGTGGGGGGCGGTGGTCAAATCTAGCTAGATCTACGGTAGTTGGCCAAATCTGATGTGGCAACGGCGTCCAGAGACCGGCGGAGGTCCGGGCGGAGACTGGCGGAGGCAGCCGGAGACTGGCGGCGGCTGTCGGCCGGCGATGGTCGGCGGCGAGCGACAACCAACGGCTCCAACGTTTTGGCTGTTGCAAACTTGCAGTAGGTTTTAGCAGACTTCATGAATATTTCTGTCCATCTACAATTAATAACTCCTATTTGAGAAATTTTTTAACTTTACTCCCACTTTAGCAATTAAAGATTTATTTACTCCTATTTAGGTAAATGCCTCAAGAAAGTTTTGGTTCCCATATTCCCATGAGTCCGTCCTTTAATTTGTAGCATAAAAAATTATGAAATGTTTTTTGTGTTCCTATATTAGTTTCTTTTGACTTTTGAAACTTTAGGAGAATTATAATATTATATATTTGAGATTCTGATTTAGGAATTCATTTTTTACTTTCAACGAAGATGAATGATCGATGACACATATTTTCGAGAAGTAAAGATTTTTCATATATAATTGTTTCAAATGTTTGGTTGAATACACCTTGAGAGGGATGTGTCAAACAAACATCATCACAAACATTATAGGTAGTGTTTTAAATCTCTTCTGTTGAGATTTCTCATCATTCAAATTACAGTATAATAATAGTTGGAAGCATTAGAGGAAGAATTTCACTTCACATTAATTAATTAATTAACTAACGGCATATCTAAACTCCTTAGAAGAAGACTGAGAAGAATTATTTGTGAGACCACTAATTAATAAATTCCTGCTTAATGAAGCTTGGACTTTCTTTTGAACAAGTCTTTTAAAAGTAATACACCCTTAGTGTCATTTTATATGTCTTGTTTTAGTATGACACAATTATTAATAAAGTGTTTGAAAAATTGATAGTTGTGTTTGAAATTTGAATATAATAAAGTGAAATGCTTTGGACCACATATTTTTTTCCAGAAAAGGAAATATAACACTTACTTTTGGAACAATCACAAAACAAAAGACAGATAAAATGAGACGAAATGAATATATTTAGCCCACCTCACCTCACCTCACCTAGTATTAAAAAATGCTCAATGTTCCATTTATAAAAAAATCAGGATTGCAAATATTCTTTTTAGATAGGCTCTTTGCAATTTAAGTTACGTAGTACGCAGTACAATTTTAGCTACTTGGATAGAATCGGTCGATTCAAATATTTCAGGTGTTACTAGCTAGCTAGGCATATGCCTTTTTTTTTTTTGAATGGGTTATCTGGCATGCATTATTTCATTTTTTTCCCCTATGACAATGGCTGGATGTTTTACTCTTTGCTTGAATTTCATGGAAGGTTGAGGATGTACATCATCGTTTTGTTGCAGCACTGCAACATCTTTTTGAGAAACACAAAAGGAAAGTTGGCCATGGTGATCGAGTGCTAAAAATTCTTTAAGCTCCAGTTATTATCTATTTACCTGTTTGCAACATCCACAAATGGGCAAGGTGTTATGGGAGTACGCGTTTGTGTAGTATATTTTTGCAATTATACTTTTCAGGAATGGTTTCTTGAAAAATTATATGAGGTGTTAGTTCATCAAAAGAAATTAAGAAGGGAAAACTATCAAATAAGCCCTCTAATTTACAAAAAAAATGCAAATCACCCCTTACATAAGAGGCTCTGTCCAACCGTCGTCATTTGGGACGGTTCCAGGTGGAAGTTTCTGATGAAATTTGTTCAGCATCTAATTCATTAATTAAGTCTAGTTTACTCATACCAAATTTCAGCTAAAAATTCAATCGAGAAGAAGGACAAATGAATTTTTGAAAATAAATGTGCAGTTCAATATTGTAGTATATTTTAGAAAATCATTTGACTGCCTTCCCCGTTAAATTTTTAGCTGAAATTTGGTATGGCTAAACTAGACTTAATAAAGAAGATGCTCAAAAAAATTCATCAAAAAATTTCACCGAAAAACCTCCCCAAATGACGACGGCCGGACATAGCCTCCTATATAAGGGGTGATTTGCACTTTTTTTGTAAGTTCAAGGGCTTATTTCATAGTTTTCTCAATTAAGAATTATAATAAAAGTATAAATTAGACTGTTTTGTGACAAAGCATTTGACTATGTAATTTTTTGATAAACTATTTTTTTTTGAACGGAAGTGATAAAATATTTTGTGCAATTACTTATTTATTTGACTTTTCCATTCTTAAAGTCGTCAAAATGGTAAAAGTTTGATTTGTACCTTGAGCAAAAAGCCTCTTTAATTTAATTTAGATTATATTTGGCACAACTAGCTTGAACAGGAGGTTAATGTTTGAATTATGGAATGTTGTCTGAATCAGAGACTATTGTCTGGAAATGAAATTTGAAGTGTTGAATCTGAATTACCAGTTGAATGGAGTAGACCCGTTTGGCAAAAAGAACTGAAAAACACCTTAATAATATGAAATACATTAAAGGGCATATAATTTTGGAATAGAGCAAACTATTTATTATAATGCTTTTTATGATTTAACAAATAATAAAATTGTAGTATATGCATAGTATGTTTTTGTAAGTATACGTGCGTTAGGTGTGTGTATATATATACACATACTCCGTATATAATTGATAGTTCTGGATTTATAAATACATATTTACATCCTCCCAAAAAAAATACATATTTACATACTCTGCATAAATATATGATTTCAAATAACCTCTTCCAACCTAACCCAAAAGTATGTGGCGCTGTAAGACAACACGGTGTATGATAACTACTAGAATAGATGATTGAATTCAGAATGTCGATTTTCATTAATAATAAAAAAGTAAATTTGTGAAACTAAACTCGATTTTCACCAAATATGAAGAAGAGCTTCACATGGGAAAGATTAGAATAGAAATGTGGAATTTAAATAAATAATAAGACAAATTTCAGAGGAATCGTAGTACACAAATAATGAGGAGGAGAACACTGATAAGTAATTAATCTGAAAACGTTATTGGCCAAAGAAAATCAAGAAGAATAAATCCAAATGAGAAGAGAAGGTGATCCGTGCGCAGGGTTAAAAGGTTACGTTTAGCTGGATTTAAAAATTTGTGCCCATTTTGAGCTGAAATGGTGTGCCAAACATAGCTTAGTAAATCCTGAGTCCAGTTAATTGTATTATTAGTAATTTGTCCGAGTCCGAATGAAGTTTTTTTAGTTTTATTGATAGAGTATTATTAGATTTGATATTTAGTACTACCTCCGTTCCTAAAAATTCTTCCCGGTTTGAATCGGCACGCTTATTAAGAAAGTGGAATAAAGTGGAAATGTGTGATTGTAGTTGTGTAAGAAAAAGGTAAAATGAATATGAGCCACACAAATTGTCCAAAAAGGGAAAGTGGGAAGTATTTTTGGGAACGGCCCAAAAAGGAAAGTGAGAAGTATTTTCAGGAACGGAGGGAGTAATAGAGTATTAACTCTATTACTTCTAAAATAGAGTAAGAGCTAATAAAAGAATATAAACTCTTATATTCGATCAGAATGAAAAACATATACTCCCTCCGTCCCAAAATTATCTTCATAGTTACTATTCACATGGTCAACTCAAATTACTCTTAATCTTTTACTTTATATATCAAATTTTTATCAAACTTAAATTTTCTTGATCAGGCTTTGTAGCGGTTTTAATGTAGTTTCTGAATATGTAAATTTTATTTACTAAAAATAATCCGAGTGTGAACAGGGATCGAGTTGCTTTATCGTCAGTCAAGCATCGTAAATCGAACTATGAAGATAAATATGGGACGGAGGTAGTACTATTATTATTTATTAATGAATTTCCTATATCCTATTTAGGATATTATTACTAGTTCTATAATTTGTAATTAGGGGTGGTTCGGTACGGTATACCGAAAATTTTATCTCATACCTTTACCATACCGTAAACTTTCGGTATGCAAAAATACATACCGTTACCATACCTAAATTTCAGTATACCTTGTTTCGATATACCAAGATTTCGGTACGGTAAGCTACGGTATCGGTAAATTATCATGATTTAATATCAAATATTATATATCAAATGAAATATAGAAAATCAGTGTTAATAGTGATATACTAAAATTATTAATGAAATTAATTATAAAATGCCAATGATAACCTATTTGTGTTCTATTCAACTTTGGACAAAAAAATATTATAAATATGTACATATACTTCAACACATCATATATGAAGATAACAACACATTCTGCTAAAATAATAATTTAAACAACATAAATATATTTGAAATAACATCGATCTCCAACAAAAACTATAAATAATTCAAGAAACATGGATATAAAGTCATTATCCTTGAATTAATGTTGTGTTTCTAGTTATTTTTATAATTTTAAAGAAATTATTGGCTTGGAATTACGGTATGACGGTATACCATTTATTTCCAAAATATATACCAATACCATATCGAAGTAATTCAGTAAGTATCATACCGTACCAAAAGTGTCGGTATACCAAGCACTTCGATAAATTCGGATTTTTCGATATGATAAGTTCAGTATACCAAAATTTGGATATTTTTTCCTCCCTATTTGTAATTGTGCCACATCGAAACTTGATTTGTCAATATTGTTGAGCAGTGGTCCGAAATTGGTCGCCAAAGGCACACTAGTATAGTACTCCGTATATTGGTTGCGAGTAATATACGGAATATTTAGAAAACGATATCTGATTGTGTACATGCCCCACGGTCCATTTGGTTTTCGACCGCTGGATTTAATTAAAGAGAGTAAAAAAATGTAAAGTGCAGTTCACATATTCAATTTTGCAACACCATGATCAGTCAAGCTGGTCTAATCCAGCGGATTCTATTTTAGGAAGAAGTGCTTCCTGCCTATTTAGGAATACAATAATCTTTTCTCGTTTACTAAATTTTGACTCTTTTCTGGTTTACTGACTTTTATAGAAGTGATATTTTTAATTATTCACTTAGGGTAGGACCGGTCCTGATATTTTATGGGCTCGAGGCGATTGAAAAAAGAAGGTCCTTAAAAGGTTATATAAATATATTGCGAAAGCTTAACTTTATATACGTAAATTTCAACATTCAAAGTAATGTAAGTCTTTCATCAAAGTCTTAATATAAACTAGGGGTTTTTACTTGAATATTACCAATTTTAAACAAATTATCAAAAAAGTGACCACTTTTAAAAAGGGGCAAAAAAGTGATCAAGAAAGTCATATATGTGATATAGGAAACATGATGTCACTGCAGAGATTTTATGTCACTGTGTTCGTTATTTTTGTAACTAAGAATCGTCACGGTCAAATTTTTTCACGCCAATTACACCCCCACCGCCACCGCCACAGTGACGCCGCCACAGTGACACCGCCACAGTGACGCCGGTTTTCATGTCACGTCCGCCGCCAAGTGTGTCACTGTGCCGCCATTAAAAAATCAAATGTGTCACTGTGCCGCCGTTAAAAACCGCCATAGTGATGTCATATACAACAGTCACAGTGATACCGCCGTAGTGACACCACCATAGTGACGCCACTATAGTGACGCCGCCACAGTGATGCCGCCCAATTATTGTCGCCGCACCGCTGCATCGCCTCGTTGTCGCCGGCCATAGTGACGCCACCACAGTGACACGCCGGAATCTGCCTCAGTGACATAGGTCAATTATAGTTACAACTTAGTTTTCAATCAAATCCTCCCCGCAGCATGCCACAACCCACTCCCCCAGCGCTGCCACCCCTCACCACCACCGTCTACTCATACACAACCTTACCCCTCCCTGGCCACCCCCCCCCCCCCAACACCCCTCCTTGTTCCCAGCCCATCGGATTGCCCCGGTATAACCCATAGGCCATAGCAGACCCAAATAGCCCCAATCTAGACCCGGCCAGACCCTCTACAACCGCTGCACCACACCCACAAGCTACACTCTGTCCCAACATCCGCACCCACCTGCAACGGCGGCACCGCCAACAATCGGCCAACCACTGCCCCACCACCGCCCTACCCTGTCAGGCCCTATCCGAAAATCAGAAAGTAGAAACGAGAAGAAGAAGAAGAAACGAGTTGCTGGGGCGGCAGAGGAGTTGCAACAACAGTGCGGATCCGGTCGATTTCGTGGATGTAGGAGTCCTCGCCGATTCCACCACCATCTCTCTAGTTGGGCGCCCCACAGCCGCCATCGGTGACGCAGGTTCGTCTCCGCCGCCGTGGTGGACCTGGTGTGAGGAGCTGGTTGATGCCGCAGGGATGGCCTGATGCGAGGAGGTGATGGAGCTCTCAGGAGTGAAGGTTCGCTACGACTTGTGAGGGAGGGTTTTAAGGAATTAGGTTACATTTTGGGGAAATTTTAAAATGGTCATTTTTTTGCCTTGTGAAACGTTGGGGGTAATACTTGTGCCATTATTTCTATAAACTAAATGTATATAAATATATTGCGAAAGCTTAACTTTATATAAATATATTGCGAAAGCTTAACTTTATATACGCAAATTTCAACATACAAAGTAATGTAAGTCTTTCATCAAAGTAATGTGATTCTGCTTCTGCTTCTTTTTTAAAAGCAGAAGCAGAATCAGAATCAGTTTTCAGAAGCCGGTACCTCCCAACTTCTAAAAAAACTGATTCTGAGAGTAAATTAGAGCTCCAGAAGTGCTTCTGGAATTTCACCCAAACACTCCAGCTTCTGCTTCTGATACCTGAAGGAGCAGAATCAGTTTTGAGAATCAGATCCAAACACCCTCTTCCTTAACTTGAAAACCTACATTTTTGTACTGCCGATTTCAAGAGCTAGTTTGCAATCCATTTCAAGCTTTGAAGTTCAATCTCCAAATCCAAATTAAACACTACGGCCAAAGCCTCCTCAAGTCAAACTTGAGATCAATAAACAAAAAACCTCCAAAAAGGTCAAGATTGTTAACTCTTAAGGTCGCAAAGCTCCAAGTTAAAGTTGGTCAAAGTTTTTAAAATGACGAAGTATTTTGGGATGAGGTAGTATAACAAGAGTGATTTATCATAAGAAATATTAATTGAAAATCATCTTTAAAATGCCCTTAATGAAATCCCAATTCCTAAATCTCTCTATATCATGTGTAATAATTAAATAAATGAATGAATAAATAAATACGGAGTAATAAATAAATAATACCAGTATTCATAAATAAAAGTTCAAAATTTTGACTGGCCGATAGTCCAGCCGCCAGCGCGCCAACCGGCAGACGCCCAACCATTTGTATAAGTAGTGTACCATTTCAGTTGATTTCTTCTCGTTCAAATCCGGCGAACGGCTTGTATCCA